GATGAAATCGGTCAGCAGCTGCAATTATGTAGGTAAACACAAACATACTAAGGTATATGCTTGTAAATATGCTATAAAGTAGCCGCTTCTAATTTTACGCTTTCTGAGAGCAATGTAGGTATGTATCATAATATTGCATATACTTACGTACTTACATATATGCATAATCTTTGCAGCACCTTGACAGCTAAAAAACCGCTTGGGTCATTAGCCAATAGCAACTACTTTGATTTGATAGGGTTTATTAACCTATTTGGACAATTACATGCGTAGATTGTGCTGCCATTTTTTTTATATGCAATGAGAGAAAACGTGTGCATTATTTTTTCAATTTCGTGACTCACTTTACCTGCCGTAGCTGACTTTTTCGGTTCACAAAAATAGCACCTGGCTTAATAAAAGTGTGTGCCGATAATTTCACGAAGAAAACTTATTACTCTTATAATCATTCCGAAAGAGACTTTAAACAGGGAATAAAAGGAGTAATTTGTCTCAAACAAGCCGAGTCAACTACACCAGTACCTTATAATTAGGTAAATCGTCTTTTATATTGTGTTGATACTAATATCTACAAAGTTTGGCATTAAGGGACATTAAAGGTTTAAAATGACTAAAGAATAAAGTATAGTTAGCAAACCACTTCGGAAATCCATACACATCCACGAATCAAGCATTCGAAAACTACTGTTTTATTGTCAGTCTGAAAATGGGATCGTACGTGGATCAGATAGAAAGGTACGATTAAAACTATTCCTGAAAAGAAATAAGGACTACAAACTTAAAAAAAATTTTACTTCAAAATTATATGTCTAGAAAAAAAATTTTGCCTAAATTTTAAAATTGTAAGTAGAAAACTGAAAACGTAACCGACCTAAAAGATTATCGTCTTGATTTTGATAAGTCAGTTTGTAAGACAGCAATTTGCTATAATGGGCCGATCTGAACAGTTTGTAGCGTTGCCTTGATCAATAATCCATGCCAAATTTCGTAACGATATCTTGTGCAATAAAAATAAAAAGTTTTTCAAGGACTCGATTTTGATGTGCAGCTTTTTGGTTAGAAAAGGACGTGGGCAGAATTTCAGATCGATATTTCAAAAACTGAGGGATAAGTTTACAGGACATGTTACCAACATCGTGGCTGACATATTGTTCACGATATAACAAGTAAAGTAATACTGCAAAATGAGCTTAAAATTAAAAAGGCAACAGAGCTTATACCATACTACCAAAAATATATTTTAAGTAGAATTGCCAACCTTTTTTAAATAAATGCTCATTCCAATCTAATATAAAATGTACCTTTGAACTTTAGTGATCACTTTTTAGGGAATTATTATATAAGCTAATAGTAGCTAGGTGCTGCGTAAATTTTTAAAATTTCAACAAGAATTACGTAATCAAGAATTGTTTCTAAAAATCTAGCTGGCAGATAACAATTCGTATAGGTTGGGCTAACATGCATATTTCCCCATTTTATCTGTAAGAAAAACAGACCATATCTATACCACTTGTTAGTTTAGAACATGAGCATTTATATTCATACTTGAGTATGTATATACATATTTGTTATTGTATATGTACATACAATAAATATAATATAGATATATATATACATTTACATTTTTATTTTTACGTATGAAACCATGTTCGTAATATTTTTGGCAATTATATCGCAATTTCGTAGAATAATATATTTTTATAATATAACTACGTATATGTATGCGTTTAAGTAAAAGTGAGAGTGTAAAAAATGTAAGGATATATATGTAAATACATACAAAAATATGTACACTAGAGTGAGCCAAATATTAACCTATTAAACTCATAGGTTAAAGTGAACCTGTGGAGATATGGTATGTAGAGAATATATATCTCTGCAAGGAAAAATGTTTTGCTTAATTTTCATAATTTCCCATTCAAATAATACGTAACAGAACCTGTTTTCATAAAAAGTACTTACTAACTTTATAACCGTTTATGTTTAAAAACTCTACGTTTCGTAGATTCTTGCGGAGAGTAAAAGTTTCTTTAAAAAAATTTACCTCAGTAGCCTTTTTTCAAAGCAAAAATTCGTACATTAAAAAGCTTTGAAAAGTTAAATTTATTAAAGTATAATTTAAAATGTTCATATATAATAAAAATTAAGTTAAAATTATTAAAATATAATTTAAAATGTTTATATGTGTAACAAACATATTCCTTGCAGTGAAATTTTTTCTGTATTTAAGTTCATTTTAACCTACAAATTTGATAAGTATTTGGCTCACTGTAATGTACATACATATAGTATGTACTACAAACGAGTATATATATATGAGAAACATATTTTTTGAGCGGTCTGTACACACTCTTTGAATTAGCACTTTCTTAATGATGAATGTGTTTCCGCTTTCAATAAAATTTTCCCACACAAATATTTTGGTTAACACGCATAAATCAAGCGAATCAACCATACTGGACGATAATGTCAAAGGCGGCAAATCTTTGCTTCAGTTAATTGAACTCAATGTATATACATACATATGTACCGTATATATAAGCTGGTGACTTGCATAAAACGAAACAAGTAGTGAGTAAATTTACGCTATTCTTCAGCGATTTTTATGAAACTTTCTCACGTTTAATTTTATTAAATTAAATTTCAGCTTAAATACTTTTCGTTCACTTGAAATTCTAAGAAAATCGCACGCACTGTCGTACAAAACCACTGGCTATCGGCCGTTTCGTGATTTATGCCAGTCATAAATTTTTTGTTTGATTTTCAATGGCAAACAAATGCACACTTGTTATTTTATTTTATACTTTATTATTATTATTATTTTTTTTTTTTTGGAGAGCTTTTCAGCACAATTTCAATGGCCGCCACTTGACGACAATCATAGGGAAATATTTTACACACATACAAATGCACATTTTATAAAAAATATTTGCACAAATGTAGAAATGTAGAATTTATACAAATAAATGTATTATATTATTTAATGAAATTGTTAATACTCGTATGAAATCGCACTGCTCACTATTCGCAGCAAACTGTGGGCGCATTTCGCCCAATTGTTTATACGAATTCAAAATAAATTGCCATAGTGAGTTTGTTTGTTTACAACAGCGTTTTTTAAAAACAAAATTACTTAATTTAGTTTATTTTTGGTGCACAGATACATATACTAGCATAAAAATATTCACCTAGTCGTAGAGAGAAGCAGCAGCGGTCTAGTCTAATTTGAGTTAGAACTCAACCGCGTAGAAATTAAAGCATGCTTTTACAACGATCTTAGAGTACATTTTTGGGCATAAACACACTGGAATTATTATCTAGCTGGAACCTAGAACCTAGGTGAATATATCTAGTCAACCAAAAAAGTTTTCAATACAAGCACTTGATTCCGATCGTTCAGTTTGTATGGCAGTTATTTGCTATAGTGGTCGTATATCGGCGGCTTCGATAAATGAACAACTTCTTAGAGAGAAAAGAACGTGTGCAAACTTTCAGATCGATGTTCAGAGTACAAAAATTCAATCCTTAGGATCTAGTTTCGAGGAAAATTAAAAAAATTGTAATAGCAATCGGCCTTCAATTGGAAATAGTAAGACTACGTGTGTAAGATTTGATGAGTACCCTGAAAAACTTCTCAATAAATCCATGGACAGTTCGTTGACGACTTAAAAATTAAAGAAACCACCATTTGTCGCACAGCATTATCAAAAACACTCATCAAAAGCGAAATCTAAGATATACTTGTACATTAAGTAAGGACAATTATATACAATACATTATATGTATATACATTATTAAATTTAAAAAATCAATCCACACATCTTCCTCTAATCTTCTTTTAGCTAATACTAGCAGATCACTGTATTTGCCATCCCTCTTGGGGAAAGAGGGCCACAAATAGACAATGAGATGTGAACATCAAACTTTTAATATTATTACATACATATTATGCAGGCAAGCCGAGTGGGTCGGCGCTCCCCACACTCGCTTTTTCTAATACTTACTATTTTAAATTTATGCTATCTTTCGAATTGAATTTCCGAAGCGAATAATTCAAAAACTTATATAAAGGTATTAGTCTTGAATATGGAGTAATTAATTTTGATAAGAACAAAGAAAAAGCTAGCCGAGCGGATCGGCGCTCACCACACGCGCCTTTTCTAATACTTACTATTTTATATTCATGCTATCTTTCGAATGGAATTACCGAATCGAATAATTCAATTATTTAATTAATTTTGATAAGAACAAATAAATAGATTTTACAGATACGTGATTTAAGTTATTATTTTTTAAATTAATGAACACTTAATGTGGCGTAAATTGACGTATAACAGTTAGACATGTATATGCAGTTGCGACAATTTATGTACTTAGATAACTATATGTTTTGTAAAGTCATAGCACATCATTTTGTTCGATAATCAATAGTGTAGTGCAGGGCACGCTATGTAAGGCATTTTTTAGGTCATTTTTTTACACCCTGGGTTACATTATTGACGTTTTAGTAAGAATCCCTAACTTTTTTAAAATATAATATAGCCTATGTTCACCAGAGAGAGTGTAGATTTCCAACGCTGAAAGATTTTTTCAAATCAAACAATCAACTCTTTTCTCTTTATAATATAGTAAGTATGTATGAAGTTCACTCTCCTTCCGGCTGCCAATACATCGAAATCTAGGTCAGGTCAAAAATAGATGAGAATATCCGCTTATGTATATATACCAAGTGCGGGCCAAATCAGAATATACTTTCACTTCGCCCCTATACAAATATAATGTTTAGATGTCCAATTATTATTTTGGATTGAAAGTGTATATTTTTGATTTTATGTAAGATATCTTCTTGAAACTAGCTTTACCAATATTTTTTTTTTGCATTTAATATTATTTCAAATTTTAAAAAAATATTTTGGTTGTATATTCAATTTTTATATTCGCTAGATCTCGTTACTTTTGGAATACTTGGCAAATAATAATACTATATCTACTTGTAGTTCGCTAGAGCCATACCACTGCCCCCATTTTTTCTATTAGGTACATAAACGTATTTACGTCTTAGTAGACTTTCAAGAGAATCTAAAATTAAATTTTGAATGCGTCAATAAGCATTTGCCTTTATTTCATTCACCGGGTTTGTGTTTTTAACGATAAAATATAGGATATACCAACTATATAGGTAAATGTATGTACACAGTCTTTATGGTATATGTACAGTAGAGTGCATGTAAACATAATCTGGGGTTTTTTAGACAATTTTTTTTTTATTTATCGTTTTGAGGAAACTAAAAAAAAAGTCTAGTAAAAAGAAATTCATTATTTTTCCAATAGATGGTTTTAGTAATCTCTATCTCGCATTGTATATGTAAATGCTATATCGTTAGGCTATATGTCATTAAAAATATTTCGTAAGGATGCCACATGAATTAATGCAAAAAAACTTCATTGACCGGCGTTTCTTCTTGTAATTGCTACCGCATAGCAATAAAATCAGTTACTGGTGCAGAAAACTGAGTCACATACGACAACGTTGTGAACAGCAAAAACGTTCGTCGGGATTTACAGGGAATCATCCACTATGAACAGCTCTTTTACGGACAAACTCTTAAATTGGACCTGTATAGTCTACAATCAAACCGTCTGAAGGAAGCAATCGCCCAAAAGCGGATAGCTTTGGCCACCAGGAGAGAACTTTTGTTCTATCAGGACAACGTCAGACCACACACATCGATAGTCACTCGCCAAAAGCTCAGCGAGCTTGGTTAGGCGGTTATTATGCATTTTTCTAATAATCCGAACCTGACACCAAGTAATTACTAGCTGTCTTTGGCGTAGGATTTTGCTTGTAAAAATTCACTGCAAGCTTGTGAAAATCGACTGTCCTACCTTTTGGCCAATACCTTCAAAGTGGAAATAAGTTATCGAACAAAGCGGTTCTAAATCGGGTCATTTGCTAAATAAAACTTGTATATTTTAATGCAAAAGTAATATATTTCTTTTTACTAGACCTATTATATATTAGCCGCCTTTGTTTCGACAAGCATTGGAGAGTAGGGAATGGAACAAATTATATCAGTTGTTCAAACAAACTGCAAACTTGAGCTAACATGTCGTTTGACGCAAGCGAAATTATTTTGCGCTTTTTTTTTTTAGTGAACTTAGTTTCGAGCAGCGTCCATGTCTTACGTACGCTATAATTTAGTATTTAAAAATATTTAAAACTTAATTGAAGTTAAAATCAATAAAAATATTGTTGTTATTTCAAGTAATTTGTCATTTGAGTCAATCACAATTGTAAAACCGGTCTGGAATGGTATCGATTCTGTGTCGACTTCAGCCCGATAAGTTATTGTTGTTTTTCCATACAAATTTTTTGGCAAGAAAGCAGCGCGCCAAGACATCTAGCAGAGAAATGGCGAATCGAAGACAGCTATTATATATACGACATTATACACTTAAATATTATATTGTGTACATGACAAATGCCCGTGGCAGTCGCAGTACGCAATTTCAATTGTTCAAACCTTTTTTTTCAAGTATATACTTGTATGCATATTCTTTCCCGTTTGTATTTTTTCGTTTAACTCAAAAACAACTTTTCTAATAAGCATCGATTTTATTATAAAACTTAGTTGTTATTGAGACAATAGAGCAATTACGGCTATCTACCAACTTGTATTTAACATTTGTTAAGAACTATTGATCTTTTGCTTCAAAATATGTCCCGGTTCGGCGATTCCTTATTCATTGTCGCTAAATTCCTTTCCATTGAGTATTTTTTTAGTTTGAGAATATAAACCGAAGAATGCGGTGAATGTACAAGAAATTTTTTCATTGTTTTGAGCTCGCGTAATCCCCCTTTGCACACGACTTCCCGAAAACCCAAACGTGTAAACAAGCCAGCATGTCCCTTCCATATCTTTAGAGTGTCAACTATTTCGATAACTTTTTTGAGTCACATAATTTTTTTTTGTTTTTTAATTTTATACTGTTGTCCATAACATCGTCATTTGGACATCCACTGGGTTTATTGTTTTCAATACTCATATGACCTGAACGGAATTTTAGAAACTACAAATTGTTGTTTCATCTAGGCCAAAGCCTGGATAACACTTATACACTTTTTGGTATTGTGTCTTAAAATACGATTTTTACCATTTGCCGTTTGTCCAAACTACCAAAATTTGAGTTAGTCGAAATGACATATATGTACATCTCACAATCTATTTGTTCGAAATGTATATCGGACTCACTTGAAGGTCACCTAACCTTTCATATATAAAAGTATATAAAAACATATGCATACATCTATATTTATCAACCATTTTGAAAATTTTTGCCTCAGGCTATAAGAATTCAATATAGAATTCCAACCGAAATTTCTGCAAAAACTATTCTTGAAGGAACCGTAAACAAATGTTCTTAAGACTCATATAAATTGGTGCAAAAAAAAACAAAATTAAATAAACAGCATTTTTGGCACAAATATTACAAATTTCAAGTAATGTATTTTATTTATTTATTTTTTTTTCGAATTTCGTATTATCACAATTTTCCGCTATAAAACAAAAATAGTCCCTATACCATTCAACTGAGGAAATTTTCTTTAAAACTGAATATATTCATTTATTCGTAGATATAATAATCGTGAAGAGCAAAAGTCTGCGAATA